TGAGTGCAAAAGCATCAAGCTCGGCTCCTGCTATTGTTGAAGACATAGAGCATGAAACATATCTTGATGAAAAGGAAGGAGTCGAAGGACAAGAGGAACAAGACAAATTCAATGAAGATGATTTGTGTGAAAATGACGATAATATTGATTATGATGAATGACTTTGATGTAAAATTTTATTATTTTAAATTTTAAAACTTTTTGTTAATGTGACATTGTGATTTTATATCTTAGATTTTCTTAATTTAATAGCATATTTTTATTTAAAATATTAAATAATTATATTTATTAATTATATTATATATTTTTATATTTTAGCACCTCGCTTCGCTCGGGTGAGCACCTAGCACCTCGAGCGTTTTTGGACCTTGGCGCCTTTTGACGCCTAACACTTTTTAAATCACTGATAAAAAGGTATCATACTCAAGTATTCAAGAAACAAATGATCATGATAATTACTTTCTACAATGACAAATTTCATCAATCATACTTTTTTCCAGTATCAGTTCTCTCATAAGTATATACATAACAGAGTTTTAAGCAAGTAAGGCTAGAGGATCATTTAAATAAATCAACTTTACTGAGTGCAGCTTGAATGCGAGCCATATTTCATAGTAAATTCACCTCATTTTCAACTGAGCTAAGCCCTAAACATTAAAGCAGTTCAAATTAGCGAAGTGCACAAAAAGGTTTGTTATGGTCCATACTGGTTTAAATAAGCAAGCATTAGTTTCAAGTGTCGCACAGATTATAAAAAAAATGGAATGGGTTCCAAAATCCATGGTGATCAACCAAATCATTTGTTGAATTACATGCTCCTTAATTATATCCAATTGAACAAATCTAAATTATCTTAAATGAAGGTAAAATACTCTTCTCTCATTTTCTTGAAAATATTTGGAGGATATTTCCATTACGCTAAGTGAAGTACATCACGCTCACTCGTGGACTCAAACTTGAGACATATCACTTATGCAACAATGCATTAACCAACACAAATGTTTTTGTCTCCCAACTAAGTGTTACTCCAGGAGCACAGACATCAATCAACGCACTCATTGTGTCCCAGTAATTGATAGGTTGCAAGAACCGAAAAGTTCAAACCCAAGGTAAAAGGTTGGGGAAGGATGCACATATAAAACACCACACGTATAACCAATTATTGACTACCGAAAATCAGTTGTCAATGAACTAATATATACATTACAAAAATGACTGAAGTTGATAACTATTGCTCTTAAAAAACTTTTGAGTGGGAAGAAATGAAATGTTGTGAACCATTGGCATGCTATAGTGGCTTCTCGCAATAACAGCATGAAAAAGATCAAGCAAAACATAAAGAGTGCATAGGCTGATGCAAAGAAGATTGAATCGTGAATGAAAACCAACAGCAACCAATTTAATCTCAAAAAAGGCACACCAATTCCAATGATGAGTATAGAAATCAACCTGCCAATCCATCTAATGCTGTACCATCAGATTGTGCCACTTCATCATCATTTTGTGGAGTTTGAGAGACCATCACCGTACCATTGCTGTTCGAAAGCTTTGATTCTCTAATTTCTTTAGCTGCAGTTTCCTGCCATTCAATTTCTTTGTTCAAAAAAAGCCTTGTCCATGTTCAGGAAGTATGACAACCTTGTACAGGCAGCATCAAATAACACAAATATGAAAAAAAATTTAAAGATTCTACTTGGGCATAATAATTTTAATCAAGTAACACATTGAAAAAGATATATACCATCTGACCTTATCTTATTAAACCAAACATAACAAGTTCTATTAGTATAATGATCAACAGAAATTAGAAAATCACCAAGAATCGAATACAATAATAGCAGCCCACCATTCAGCAAGTCCAGGAAATTGTTCTTCGTCTTCTCATTTATTCATAATTCTTATGTCTCACTACAACTCCCAACATTATGATATACATAAACCGTAAATTATAGGGATGATATACATACAACAGAATAGGAGCATAAGAAAGTTGAAATTCTCAAGAAAAAGGATACAAGTGACAATATCTAATCCATGGTTTATAATAAACCTTCAAGAGTCTAGTATAACACACTCGTAGTTGTGCATGCCATAAGAGGAAAGGAAAGGAATATTTGAAATAAACTTCCTTCTTCCTACTGTTAATACAAGATTCTGATTTCTTTTACTTAATGCATCCAAGTTAATTGAGGCTACATTAGTTACATGCGATGCTTCGAGAAAACAACGTGGAAGAGAGTTTAATTACACCAACTAAAAGAATCCTTACATGACATCTGAATTAGCTTATCACAACAACTTTCATCTTCAACTTCATTGTACATAACCTTCATAATAAATATTTTTATGCATAAAAAATTAAGGTCGCAAGTATCCAAAATATTTCAATTTTTTTAATGGCTTTCATAGAAAGCATGCACCAGGTGTTGAAGCTTGAAAACCCATACATAAGGGTAGAGAGAAAATACTAAAGAACAACATGTTACATCAAAAGGCACTTTGGTAAATGAATGAAGCAAAAGACTGACTTGGGTTGTTTCATTTTCTGCAATGTCCAACTTTTTCATATCATGAGCGGCTTCCTGAACTACTTCAGCATTAGTTCCGCCCATTTTCTATTCTGCCAAAGATGACATAGGATTCAATTGTCAAACCTGATAAAAAAATTTAAATCTTTGGCAAAAACTCTAAAGAAATTTCAAACTATAGATTGACAATGAGAACTGTCTAACAAGAATGCCTTTTATGTAGACTAAAGCCTAATATCAACAAAGATAACAAGTTCAAACCACACAGCATCAACAAGAATGCACATTTTCAATGAGACATGAGGACCACCACTCTGACATGTGAATCAAGTGCTAACACGACAGTGCTTTAGCATTTAACCATAATCTCTGTTGTGTTAGCTAAATTAACATCTAGTAAAATTGAAAAGAAATGGATTAACATCTACAACATGATTAATTAAATACATGTATCAACATATAACATGCCATTTGAAAACTACAAAAAGGGGAAAAAGAGAGAGAAATTCAACTCTATTATGATCGTTGGAAGTGATGAAATCTAGAATTAGGAGACATTCATACAAGTCATACTGGACAAAGGCAAGAAATCTTCTAGGGAACCTAAAAACCACCATATTTGTGCACGCGATCCATATATTGGCTTTCCATTCCTCGTCAAACCCCTCTCTCAATGAATCTTTATCCTTTGAGATTTATAATATTCAATAATGAACCAAGAGGGACAAAAAGAGACAACAAGAAACAACCTTAATTATCAGAGGAGAAGGATCTCATCCTTGGAGAAAACCTAAGAGCCTTTCAGAAATCAGTAATTCATGTGTGGGAGTGATCGATATATCGGCTTTTCTTTCTTCATCAGAATGATTTTAAAAGGGAGAAGACCTCTTCCCCTAAGTAATCTCTGACGCAACATGAAAAAGAAGACGACAAGGAAGAACCTCAATCTTCGGAAGAGACGGCCGTCCTCCTCGTACACAGTCCTCAGATGGCCTTGGCCTAAATTCGTTTTCAGAGGTGGCGGTGCCGTAGGTGACGCGCGGGTCGATTTCCGATCTCCAAGCGGAACAGGGAGGTGGTGGACGTCAACGATGGGGTCGCGGAAGACCACTTCTCCGGCCGTCGGTGACGAGAGGACAAAGGGGGAACGACGCACGCAATACTGGATTAACGAATGAACTCGGAAACTTCATTTGTAGTTTTAGGGCTTCTTCTGACACCGTTGGATCAAGAATGACGAAACCGGCCTACGGTACAGATGTCACAGATGAACTATTGCACGTCACCTTTTCTCTTCAGAAGACGAATGTATAGTCAACAATGTTAATCGAAACTTATATTGTAATAAAAAAAAAGACAATTAACTTCATGCCACACTCATTATAAAATAAATACTAATAGATAATTATTTTATTAATAATATACTTTTTATAATTGGTAGAAAGTTTTTTTATTTATTTTTTAAAATAAATATATGTCATTGAGGTCCATCCATATATAAGTCAGTCAAAGGAAAGGGTTGAAATAAGGAATGCTTCCCCATTTTCGTCTCATTCTTCGTTTAGATGGATAACGGTAAGGACGAGGAATTCCCATTCGAAAATAAGCCCATGAGTTCTACATATTATCCTAATTAAATTTTTAAAATATATATAATTAAAATATAAAATATATATATATTTATAATTATTAAATATAAAAATATAATCAAATTACCATAACTCATCAGAAAGATAAGGAAATATTAAGAAGGATCCAAGAAAGGTGCAAAGGAGAGAGTAGAGGTAATGACTGAGTAATGAGACAAGATCAAGGGTGCGGGTGTTACGATGAAGGGGAGAAGTCGGAAAAACGGATAAAAGAGAAAGAAGAGTAGGTGAAAACAGACAAAGGAGAAAAAAAAATAAAAACTAATGAATCGTTATCGTCATTTACTACTGTTTATCATTTATAATCATTAATCATCGGGAAAATCTTTGGTTGTCGATGGAGAAAAAAGAGGACCGACAAAGATAATATTAAATAATCATAAGTGCATGAGGCAACATGAAGGAGTTGTTATTGTCGAATAAGGTAATGTTTCATTTGATTTAATTGAATCAAATCGATTTATAATCGAATCATAATCGAATTAATATAGATAGCACGTTTTTTATTTTAAATAATAAAAGTCTAACTCCACTCATCTACTGTTTGAGCCAAGTATCTTAATCCATGTGTTATTAGGCCGAGCATAAATTAGAAGGTGAGAAGTGCTTCATCGGTCCCAATCCTATATTCGCATCGATAATATAAAATCCCCCTATTCTTCGTTCCCATATCCATGAGTATTTTTCATCTCCGCTCGCATACCCGTATCCATGAGTATAACGAACATCCGTATCCAAATATTACCATTCTTTACCTACATTTCTATCATTAAATCAATAAATTATTATAGTTTTTTTTTTCATTTCAAGAAACAAACATTTCTTAGAGACTATTGAGGACAACGCAATTTTGGGACACGAAACATTCACATGCGAACTGCTTGTTATTAGGACGGCAAGCTGAGTTAGGCTTGGGTGATGTTAACAGTGCCTGATGGGATATAAACAAAAATGATTTTTTTATATGAATAAATATACAAAAATGATTTTTTTTATATGAATAAATATTAACAAGTCATGGTTTTAAATGAAACCATAATAAAATAAAATATCAAGATATACATAAAAAACTTTTTTAATGTGAAGAGTAAAAATCATGGGATAAATTAGAGATAATCTATTATAATAATAATAAATATACAAATCTCAATCTCTTGTCCAAAACCCTAACAACAATCTCAATCTCTTTCTACCTTTCTGAATATAGGCTGTCAACCCAACAACCTCACCCTTCAGCCCATAAGGGAGGTTGTCCCATGACTCCTCAATGTGAAGTCATGCCGACTAGCTGTCGGCATATCTCCTGTCTTTCTTTTGGTAAAGTCTTTGTCAACATGTCTGTTTCGTTATCATCTGTGTGAATTTTCTGAAGCTGTAACTGTTTCTTTTTCTGCTCACTTTCAACTGCTTCCTAGTAACTCTCTGGTTCATCTGCATCAGTAAGTATCACATACTCATCTGTAGAGTATCTTCTGGAAGGTAGACGTAGTCTAGAAGATCTTCTTAATTGAGGTTCTGTTGGAAGTTGCGCTCCAACTTCTTCATGCTCAACATGTCCTGCAGGTGTATCAACATCAGGTTCTACATCATCTTCCTACACATCCCCATCACCCTGATATACTGGAGGAGTAACTGGGTCATAATATGCTAATCCTTCTGCAGAAGTCTTGGCCGATATCTTCTTCTTCAAATCTTTAAAGGTTTGATCCTTAAAGAAGACTACATCTCTACTTCTGAACACCTTCCGCTTTTCTGGATCTCAAAGCCTGTAACCAAACTGATCATGTGAGTAACTAAGAAAAATATATTTTTTAGTCTTACCATCTAGCTTGGACCTCTCATTGTCTAGAACATGTGCAAATGCATGACAACCAAACACTCTCAAATGCTTGTAGGAAACATTTTTCCCTGACCATACATGCTCTGCAACATCACCATCTAGGGTTGTACATGGTGACAAGTTGATCACATCAACTGTAGTCCTCAAAGCCTCATCCCAAAACCTTCTAGGTAGCTTGGCCTGTAAAAGCATACATCTGATCTTTTCCATGATAATGCGGTTCATCCTCTCTGCAATTGCATTATACTGAAGTGTACCAGGAATTGTCATCTCATGTTGGATCTGATGTGATCTACAATAATCATTAAACAATCATGTATACTCACCACCATTATCTGATCTTATGTATTTCAATTGTCTTTCTATCTCCCTTTCAATACTGACATGAAATTCTTTGAAGATATTAATCACATGATCTTTGGTCTTTAAAGCATAGGCCCAAACTTTCATAGAAAAATCATCTATAAAAGTGACAAAAGAAAGTGCACCACTTATACCAAGAACATCAATAAATCCACTAGGAGTTTTTGTCCTCAAAGGACCATATATATCTGTATAAACATGATTTAAAGCATGCATTTTTCTAGATAAAGCAAGACTAATAAATAAAACTCTATGTTGTTTACCAACTAAACAATCAATACAAGGGTTTAAATGTATACCTCTAAAGTCTGGTAATACTTGTCTCTTGGAAAGAGCTTGCAACCCATTCTCACTCATGTGTCCCAATCGCCTATGCCATAAATTCATACTGAAGTCTTTCTCTGTAGCATTTAACTACTCACCACAAGCTTTAGCCTGCAACCTGTATAAGGTGTGATATTTCTTTCCACTAACTATAACAAGAGAATTCTTACTGAGCTTCCATTGCCCTCTATAAAATCTGCTATCATAGTCTTCATCATCTAATCTTCTAACTGAAATTAAATTTAGCCTCAAGTCAACCACATGTCTCACATCCTTAGGCACTAACTTGCAGCCAAGGTTGGTCTTTAAATGGATATCACCCATGCCAATGATATTTGTTGTGTCATAGTTGCTCATCTTGACAACACCAAAATTTTCAGACCTGTATGTAGCAAAAAACTTCCTCCGTGATGTAGCATGATAAGAAGCACCTGTGTCAATCACCCACTAAAGATCTTCACACATAAGAAAAAATATCATAGAAGGAGACAAAATCAAATAATCACCACCTTGCAGTATTATCCTTTAACTTTATAGACTCTACTTCTATTCCCTTTTTCTTGTTCTTCTTACGTTGTTTATATTGATTCTTGTAATGTCCTTTCTCACCACAGTTATAGCAAATAATATCTTTTCTTGATCTTAATTTGCTCCTACTCATGCGTGAACTGCTTCTAGGCTTTGACCTTCCTCTATTCTCTGAGATAAGTGCTTGTGAATTATTCTCAGATGTTGCTAAATTTTTTCGTCTCAACTCCTCATTCAACAAACTTTTTGTTACTTGACTCATTGTAATAACACCATCTAGCGCAGAATTATTGAGGGAAACCATCAATGTCTCCAACTTTCTAGTAATGAACTGAGAAGTAACAATACCTATAACTCATCATCAATAGATATTTTCATAGAGGATAGTTGGTTAGTAATAATCTACATTTCATTCAAATGCTCAACAATAGAAGCACTCTCTATATTTTAGGTTCACAAGTTTTCTGATAAAAAAAACTTTATTACCAGCTGTTTTTCTTTCATAGAGACCTTCTAATTTTTTTCAAAGAGAAAATGTAGAACTTTTAATAGAAACATGATGAAAGACACTATCATCAAGCCATTGCCGAATAAACCCAATTATTTTTCGATCTAACCTCTTCCACTCATCATTTGTCATAATTGTGGGTTTTGCACTATCCCCCTACAAAAGTTCATACAAATCTTTACAATACAAGAGATCTTACATTCTTGGTTTCCATATCATCCAATTGTTTCTATTCAAACTAATCATACGAGAAACACTATTAGCCTCAATGTTTAAATACAAAATTAAATCACCAAAACCCTTGATACCAGTTGATGGGATATAAAGAGAAATAACTTTTGTATATGAACAAATACTAGTAGACCATAATATACAGCGAAATTAAATGGGACCATAATCAAATAGAACACCAAGATATACGTGGAAAACCCTTTCAATGTGAAGGGTAAAAACCATAGGGCAAACTAGAAATAATCCACTATAATAATAATAAATATATAAATCTCAATCTCTTGTCCAAAACCCTAGCAACAATCATAAGAGAATAACTGGGATACAAGGATCACGTCACTATGCACAATATCTAAATTCTCCCCAAATAATCATAGTAAGAATCTACTATATATCTAATCTAACCTGAGATGAAAACACTGCTAGATGATTGAGAATAGTCTCTCTGCATTATTCTTGTCTTCTTCCCTTTTTTTCTCTTATTTTTCTGCCTTATTCTCCTCATTTTCTTTGGAATCACATGGCTGCATTATTCATCACATTGCTACCCTTTTATGCTTCTTTCTGTCTTTAAAACGTAGCCACCCACACCCCCCTAATAGGAATTAGGATTAGGTTAAGTGAGGAGATGGACTGTGGGCTGATAAAGCCCACCATGGGTTGAATGTGAGCAGTCAACCCAACAGCGCCGTGTATTGTCTCAGCCTGTTCTCTTCCATCAACGAGGAGCGAGGAGGAGGCCAGCATGGTCGTACGAGCAACAAGGATGTCACCGTCAGTCGATGTCTGTGCCTCCACCACGCTAGTTGGATCGCCACTGTCGCCCATGTCCGCCACCTCGACGAGTAGTACCGGGTGCTCCGCTTCACCTTCTCGCTTACGAAGGTGTGACGGAAGTGCTGCATCACGTACCTAAGGTCGACGGCATCCAGCCCAAACGCCTCCGTCAGTTCCACGGCCACGAGCGTGGACGACGACAGCGGCAGTCGATCCATGGACGGGTGACGGAGGCACCACGATAAGAGCTCGTCACCGCTGAAGTTCCCTAACCCCAGTGTGCAGTAGCTCTTCACGCCGTCGCGTAGGACTTGACTGCTATGTAGATGACCTCTCACCATAAACAACATCTTATGCACTAGATTGCCTTCTCCGATCCAGCCCATATGTGGGCTTAGACAATTGGGCCTATTGAGCCCAAATCATTAATCAAAAGGAAATTAAAAAGTGAAAAAGGTAGCGAAAGGGTAACGACGCAGAGAGAGAGAGAAAGAGAGAGAAAGATTAGGATCTTGAGTTTTTTGCTTGACGATCAGTGGCCAAACATTGTCAGCTTTGGCCCAAATTTTATACGGAGAATCCTTGTAGTAAGCTCTACAATCCTAACGGTGTTGATCTATAGTTTATCATCTCTAAGGTACTTTCCTGTTATACCTACT